CTCTTATCCTCCAGCAGCTGGCCTGGCTGTGTTCTTATGATTACAAGGAACTGCAAGAGAGCAACTGAAAACAATACCTGTCAGGCCTGAACTTAGAACATCTTCATTCCACCTCATTCTGTTAGTCAAAATAAATGTCATGGCGAAACCCAGAGTCAGAGTTGGATGGCTGAGCTCTAAAATTATAAGCCAAAGGGTGTAGATACAGATGGAGTTGAAGAACTGGGGACAGCACTGCTACCTACAATACTCCCATAAGTGTACCGTGTGCCAGAACAGTTTGGGGTTTGGAGAATGCAGTGATTCACACATGATGATCCCAGCCAGAGGCCACAGTAGATGTGAATGCAGATAATTCTTTAAGGAGCTAAAATAGAGGTAAGAAGATGTGGGTAGAGAGCTCTGAGCTGGCCTGTGATCCTTTCTAATGACGAACTATGTGGTTGGAGGTATGAGGTTGAGATTGGAGATTGGAGGTTCGAGGCTTAAAGAGTAGGGGTTGGAAGGTGAAAGGTGGAAGGTGGAGGCTAGAGGTTGGAGGTTGGAGGGTAGAGACTGGAGGGTAGAGGCTGGATCGGCAAGGGTGGAGGGTGAAGTTTGGAGGGTGGAGGTTAGATGTTGGAGGTTGGAGAGTAGAGGTTGGAGGGCAAAAGCTAGAAGTTGGAGGTTAGATAGTCGACCGTGGAGGGTGGAGTTAGAGGTACAAGAAGACTTCCTGGAGGACCCAGCCTTTGATTTGGATACTGAAAAGGAAGATGGACTTTCCAGTGAGAATTTGTCACAGGTGGGGATAGGAAAGGGTACTTTTGGCCTAGGGAAGAGGCTAAGTTGGGAAGTCGAGAATATGATCAGGCTGGTTGAGCCTGGAGATTATGGAACTCATGAGTGAAAGCTAAGACAGAAGAGGTGCTTTCAGGGCAGTTGTTAGGGGATTTGGCCAAGATGTGAATTCTGGATATTAATCTGCAGAGGACTGGAACCCATTGGTAATTCTGAGCAGGAAGATGCTGCTGCTGGCAGTGAGGGGCAGATGGAAGAGAACAGACCAGAGAAGCAGGGAGGCAAGTCAGGCAGCTGTTAAGGAGACAACAAAGGCCAGAGCTCGGCATCTCTACCAGGCTCGAGAGATGGGAGTGTAACATCAGAGAGACGGTGGTGTGTCTGTTGGTTCTGACGCCCAAGGAGCATGGCCAGAAAGGATGGAAATCATAAGAAAGTGTTTTCACCCCAGTTACATTTTCAGATCTGTGATAAGTGTGATTAAAACGTTTTAAGAAAAAGTTCTTGTAACTTTTTCATTTCCCCTGTTTCCCTACCCGTGTCAGAGCCCAGAGGAAGCTAAGAAATATTTGTAGGGGAGGTTGGAGACTGGAGCTTGGAGTCACCTCCAGCTTGGCATGGAAGGCTTGCTGGAAAGATGCAGGAGTGGCTGGGAAAGCAGGCAGGTGCATTCAATTCCTTGACCGTGCTGGAAAACAAAGGTCTGAGAATGAAATCCTCAGAGCCGGGGTCACATAAAGGGCCCATATTTCCTGTGTGAACAGGTTTCCATCTATATGCCCCTCTCCACTCTCCATTCTTGCCTGGACCCCTCAGTGGTGGCATAGGTCACAGTTAAAGGGATGGATAGTGTCATGTTTTGCTCTTTGGGAAAAAAGAGTTCTGAGGCACCTGGGTGGCTCAGTGGTTGAGCATCTACCTTAGGCTCAGGGTGTGATCCCAGGATCCTGGGATGGAGTCCCACATCGGGCTCCCTACAGGGAGCCTGCTTCTCTCTCTGCCTATGTCTCTGCCTCTCTCTTTGTGTCTCTTATGAATAAATAAATAAAATCTTTTTAAAAAAAGTTCTAAAAGTAGTCCACCAAGGAGATCATGTGCATGAGGACTTCAAATAGTGTGCACAGAGAAAGCACTTCATATATGTTTGCTGTTATTATTTTTATTTAGATTTAAATGGAAATATCATCTTCCAGAAGTTTGTCCAGCTTCTCGAACCCTACAGCCAGGACAGCCCTAGATTTGCCCTGAGAAGGAAGATGAGCCTAGAGCTACCCTACCTGCCTTAAAATTGGGATCCCTTTGCACCCAGAGTGGGTCTATCCGTCACACTCTGTTATCTGGGTGAGTGGGCTTTGACTCAAGCCTGCTTTGTGCTCAGGCACTTTGTTTAGAATCGATGCCCTGTCCTGACCTCCAGGCCACTTGGCTCAGGCCCTGACACCTGTTTGGCCTTAACAGCCTCTCCCCACACATTGATGCCATTCCCCAAACCGGGCAGCCTGCCCAGAGCCTGACCTGGCTTGACTGCCACTCCTTGGAGACTCCTGCTGTCCTCCTCAACCCCCAGATCCTACCTCTTTAGACATTCTTTCCGGACTGGCCCAGGCCTGGTCACCATGCCTCTTTCTCATTACCCAACACAAGCCCTATCCCTTCCTGGCTGTGTCCTGTCCCACCAGACCTGAGGTTCTGACTTCCCAGACTGACCCCATTGACGGCCCAATGCCATGGAATCTTAGAATTCCAAACTCCCTGCTTTAGAGATAAGGACCTGTGTTCTGGGAGGGGAATTTCATTCCCCCCCATGTCACACCCTGAGTTGTGTGACAGATGCAGGATCAAATCCTAGCCCCTGAGAAACATTTGTCTTGGAATATTGTTACGGTTCCAAAGAACCGAGGCTTGTGTTTCCTTGGCTTGTCCTCACGCGACCTATGAGAGAACGTCTTTCCGAGACTATACTTAGTAGGTAATTCCCTCTCACAAAAGCAGTCAAGGTCCTCAGATTTAAAACCCTTCTCTGTCTTTTGGCATTCAAGAGTTGTCAGAGTGTCACGGTCTGCCAGTAGCCTGTGGTGGCTGAAGCAGGGAGAGAGAACAATCATTGGAATCCGTGATGCAGAAAGAAACATCAGATGCTTCCCCTGGATTTCTGTGAGCTGGTGAAAGTAGGTGTAGGACCAAGGTATCCCTGTAATTCTTTCAATTCTCGACATCATGTTGGCTCTGGGACAGAGCCTTGTAATTGACACACTGAGGTATTTGACACATCCATAGGAGTCCTCACGGTCACTTCCAGGGCAGGGTGGAGATTCGCCAGGCAAACGTACAGAAAGCCCTGATTTAGCAGGTATGTGGATCGCTGGGGCTTGGGGGTCCACTGTATTCCAGTGCTGTTAGACTATGTTTCCAATCCTGGGCATTTCCATCCTTGGCTGCATTCTTTATTATGACAATAATAAATATATAAATGTATAAATGTATTACAATTTATAAATAAATTTATAAATTGTAATACATTTATACCCTAAATTTAAATTTAGGTATAACTTTAATATAAATTTAGGTATAATTTTAATATAAATTTAAACCCTAAATTTATAAATTTATGATGACAATAATAAAGCCCCAGAGGAATGAGTTCTCCGTCTGACATAATTTTGAGTCCCATCTCCTCCATCGGTTGGCATGTGGTTTCCAAATCATATAACCCCATGAACTGCAAAGTCCTGGTTGTAAAGTTAAAAAAAAAAAAAGAATTTAAATAAGCTTGACACACAAAATTCAACCATCTAGCTAGCCCAATTATGCAAAGATGCTTTGCATGTTGCAAAAGTGTAACAAGAATGTTCGACTTCCTTTTCTAATATACAGTCCAGGTCCTCTAAGAACAGCAGAAAACAGAGGATGTGAAATGAGGATGGGAGTCCGGAATACACAGGCTCAAACATCTGGTTCCTTCATCTGTAAAATGGAAGCAAGAGGAATGTCACTTAATAAGGATGTTTTAAGATTCCAAAAGTAATGGTGGGTGTATTATGACTAGTTGAAAATACAAGTCATGTTTTAATAAGGGGAACCCTAGAATGTTCCTGGCTGCTCTGGCTGACCTGAGCTGCCACCCACTGAAATGAGGTGAGCTCATTCCTGGATTCAGCAGTGTTTTTAAGACAACTTTCTAAAGTTCCAACAAGGCTTCCTTAAAGGTGTTAAGGAAAGCCCTCAACCAAAATGAATAAACAGGTAAGAAATAAGCAGAAATGCCCACTTACAAGATGAGAGGGCCTCCTACCTTCAGCTCATAGTGAAGAGCAAATGAGCCTCTTCCCAGGCCCCATCACACCTCCCTGTGAAGGAGGCCATCTGAACCCCTGAAACCCTAAGACATCACATCTCCTCAAAGGCTTAAAACCAAGTGGAAAGACTGGGAGGTCCATCGCCATGCTTCCTGAGCTGGGACTTTCTAGCAAAGCACAGCCTGGTCCCCAGATGATTAACCCTGGGTTTCCCCACACACACCTTTGGGGGACACTAGGCCCATCTAAGAAGACTTGTACAACTTTTACCAAATAAGGCCTGTGCAACTCTCTGCAGCACAATATAGACACACAGCGGAGGAGAGAAAGGTGGGTTCTCTAGAGCAGTGCTATTCAGATCCGAAGGGCCAGGATCACTGTTCCATGTTTGTTATTTCCTCTGTAAGAAATAAAATTGGCAGAAAATACCTCCATAGGGAGAAATCCTATGTCTCAACCAAAAAAAAAAAAAATACAAAGGGGGAGAAGTGATAAAGTGATATTAGAACTAAAAGGCTGGAGGAAAGAGATCATTTTCCTCTTTCCTCCTTCCACGCTTCCATTTAGGATTAAGCTATGCCCCTGAGAGAGGACAGCCAGTCAGGGAGGAGATGGAGGAGACTTTGAGAAGACAGGCTCTACGGAAGGACTGTCCCAGAATGAGCTAGAAATCCTGGGGTAACTTCACTTCCCCTCCCTCCCTAGCCAGGCCTGTCTCCATCTATGTGTGTGTATGTATGTATATGTAGGTCTGTCTTTTTCTGCTAAGATGAGATAAAGGGAGAAAAGCACTCCTGCCACAGGACTTCACCTGCATCACATTCATAATAAAGACCCAGTCACTCATCAAAGAGGGCCTCGCTGGGTTCTCTGATCCCGCAGCCAGCTCAGGCTGTAATTGCAAACACCCTGCCCTGGGGACGTGTCAGCTGAAGTGAAGACGCTGGGGCTCCGCTGGTGTCTGTAAATGCAAGTTCAAGGGGACTTTTTAACATCAGAATCAAAAATATGAGAGTCAAGAGACAGGTCCTCTGCGCCCTGTAGAGGATCACAGTAGAGATAAGAAGTAGGAGGCAATTGCTCTGAAGGTGGGAAAAATCATTTGAAGGCAGCAGAACAGACACAAGGTAATTACCGCTCAGACGCAGCGCAGGCAAGAGGCCCTTGCTTTTAGGAAAACTAGAAGGGAGTAGAGGGAGGTGGGAGGAAAAGCCCAGCTCTCCCACAGAGGGTGAAGAGTCAGCGCTGGCTTCCTCCCAGGAAGATGGGAAGCAGTGATCAATGACCCCCCCAGATGTCCTGTCGTATTCAATGATTGTGCGAGGCGAGTCACAGAAGAGTTTTTCTCATTTTCTCAACTCCTCTCCTCTGTGTCAGAGGGAGAGTGTCTGTATTTCGAGAGATGACGGAAGTGACATGAAGATTTGTGGGAAAGGGAACAAGAAAAAGATGCCTGCCTAGTGGGCTACATACTGTCTGATTCCAACTACGTGAGATTCTAGAAAAGACAAAGCTATGGAGACAGCGAGGAGGTGAGTGGTTGCGGGGGCTTCAGGGTGAGGGAGGGAGGGATGAAGAGGTGGAGCACCAGGGATCTTAGGGCTGTGGATGTTTTGGTGTGAGACTGTGATGGTTAACACCTGTCACCAGACAATCTTCAAATCCAGGTATGTACGACACCAAGAGGGAACCCTCAGGCCAACCATGAGCTTTAGTTAATAGCAGTGATATGCGAATAGTGGCTCGTCCACTGTAACAGGTGCACCACCTGGGTACAAGAGGTTAGTGGGAGGGGAAACGCTGCAGGGTGGGCGAGAGGGAGTATTTGAGAACTCTCACCTTTCTGCTTAATTTTTCTGTCTACCTAAAACTACTTTAAAAACTAAAGTTTATCAACAAAAAAGAGAGAGAAGGCTATACAGGTAAGAATGTAGGATCAAACATTTAAACACTCCCCACAAAAACTTGGCAGTTTCATAACCGGGGAAAATTAAATATTAGGGTCCAGGAAACACTCCTGAAGTGGAAAACTAAAAGTCTCTGAGACTTGACCTGGTTGTAATCTGATTTCACTAAAACCCAGAAGAGAACTAAAATTGTCCTACCCAGCAAAGAAAAAGAGTGGAGCTTCACAGAGCACATTACATCAGTGCTTCCTGAACACTCTTAGGTGAGGGGCTGGTTTCATGTGGTTGTGGTTGACTTTTTTTTTCATTCCAATCCAGTATTATCCAATACTTCAGTAAAATAAAATAAAAATTAGTTACTACAGGAGAATGAGGATACCCTTGGATATCAAATTCTTGCAAAGTGTTATGAGCACTTATTCTTGGTCTCTGTATTTGTCTCACAAAGCACTGGTAATGAAAGTCCATGGACAAGCCTCAGTCTCAAATGAACTACACATTAAAAAGGACTGCATCAGAGGAGAATGAATCTACTCAAGGCCCAGGCACTTCACAAACCCAAGAAAGAAACTCAGCCAGGAAATACAGTTAGTAGTTACCAGCAAGATCTCCTGAAAGCCGGGGATCCCTGGGTGGCGCAACGGTTTGGCGCCTGCCTTTGGCCCAGGGCGCGATCCTGGAGACCCGGGATCGAATCCCACGTCGGGCTCCCGGTGCATGGAGCCTGCTTCTCCCTCTGCCTGTGTCTCTGCCTCTCTCTCTCTCTCTCTCTGTGTGTGACTATCATAAATAAATAATAAAAAAAATTTAAAAAAAAAAAAAAAAAAAAAAAAAAAAAAAAAAAAGATCTCCTGAAAGCCAAGGGCACCATCTCTTGTCTGGACCATCATGTCATCCTCTAGCCATGTTCTCTTCCCATCCTGTCTCTCATTGCCATAAAAGTAATCATTCCAAAATGCAAATGTGATGTGGACTTTCTTACTTGACCACAGGTAGTGTTTCTCATTTCCCAGGATGCCCTGGGCACTATTTAGCACCTCGTTCATAGAAAACTGGCTCCTACTTGCCCCTGGACTGTGTAACCCAATGAAGGGCCCAACTGAGCTGCTCATAGTGAGCAGGAGGCCTGGGTCTAACTCAAGTAGTCACACCTAAAAGTCAGCTCCCCAGTCCATTAACATATATGACTGGATGTGTACAGGTAAGTCTGATTTAAAAGCATAGAGTCAAATAATAATAAATAAATAAATAAATAAATAAATAAATAAATAAAGTCAAGGACAGTTTCTTAACTAATTCTGATGGAGGTGGGAGGAGGGCTAGGGGTGGTAAGAAGGATCTGGGATTGTTCACCAAAGGAATTTTCTTTGAGGTAAATGAAGGCATTCCAGGGAGACGACCTGACAAAGATGCAGAGCCAAGGATGGCATGGGATGTTCAGGAAACCTCAAGAAACTATATATTTCACATCAAGGAAGAGCCCCAAGTCCTCTTTCAGGAAAGGGAATGGTACTAAATACTGTAGGAACCTCAGAGTTTACTTTCTCTAGGCATCTGGAATGAAGATAAGCTCTTCAGCCTCAAATTGGAAGTCAGAAGATACTGAATTCTAAGAATTTGCCAGAGACTAGGGGAAATCAATTGAGGAAAGAAAAGCAAAATATTCTGAGCTCCCTGGGCAAGGAGATTTCATCTTCACCTCAGTCCAGTGGTGCGGGTTTTCTCCTCCCTTTACAGATGAGTAGACTGAGGCTCAGAAAGGACATGGAATCTCAGCCAGTCACACAAATAGTATGCAGCATCACCGAGTTTCCAACCAAGGCCTACCTGCCATTAAATACTCTGCATTTTGCACAGGGTCAGTATTGTTTATGCTGCTAAGTGTGTGAAGCAGGTGGTTATTAAGATGAAAGGGAAACATATAAGACCAAAAAGTAGAACATTTTAATCCAACATTTGCAAATATATATTGAAATCGAGCTACTTCATTAGAATTGGTTTCACCAAGTGTTCAGCATATCAGACACTGTTAGATGCTTTGCATGTATCATTTGCTTAATTCCTACAGTCATTCTGCAAGGTGGTTGTGGCAGGTTGTACTCATGTTCTCAACTCTACACTCTCCCTCTGTCATGTAACTCATGGTGCATCTTTGTATACAATATGCTCTCCTGTCCCAATAATGGGGTGGTGGTTGGGTCACTGAGAACGGGTCTCCAGCTTAGTAAGTCTAAGAAGCTCTAAGAGGCTTGCAGATTTCTGCCTTCTCTCCTGCTTCTGTCCCAAGAACAGGATCCAGCCTGGGTTCTGGGATGAGAAAGCACATGGAGCAGAGCCATAGCAGTCTATCCACAGCTGAGGGACAAGTAAAAGTTTGTTGTAAGTCAGTGAGCTCTCAGAGATGTTTGTTACTGCATCTTAGCTGGCTGATACAGTGGTATTTTGTAAATGAAGCTGGGAGACACATCTCTCCCCAGCTCATACAACTCCTAGGGGTGAGTCCTACATTTAGACCCATTTCAATTGGATTTAAAATTCTGTACTCTTGGGACACCTGGGTGGCTCAGGGGTTGAGTGTCTGCCTTCAGCCCAGGGCAGGATCCTAGAGTCCCGGGATCGAGTGCCACATTGGGCTCCCTTCATGGAGCCTGCTTCTCCCTCTGCCTAAGTCTCTGCCTCTCTCTCCCTCTGTGTCTCTCATGAATAAATAAATTAAATATTTAAAAAAAACTAAAAAGTCTGTGCTCTTAGTTTCAAAACCCTCTTGCAAAGCTCAAATAGTTTAAAATAGCTCGTATGAGGCTGCCACCCATACAGGAAACCAGAGCACTATCTCTAGAGTCCCCATCTTTCCATGGTTCCCATGGCCACAACCAGGGGGTCTGCACTCTTGGTGAAGTTCATCTGGGCTTCTACTAGATCAGTGCCCCTTCCCCTTCTCACCTCCTTAGCACTTATATTTCATGTCCCTCATTTTGAAGCCTGATAACTAATGCCAGCGTTTGGAAAACAGACCCAAAATAATATGGTATTCTATAAAGACCTACCCAATAAACATGCGATTGATTGAGCAGGAGAGAAATGAGTATTTTAATTTAGGGGAAGATTTCAGCTTACAACATCCACTTTGTTACTTTCCCGTTCTACTGAGTGTGAATACAATCTCTTACCCTACCACCTCTTCTAAGCCACCGTCATCTATTCCCTAACATTCTAGAACAATTTAATGAGTGGCCTATCTGCTCCTGCTATTCCCCCACAGACCATTCCTTCCCCACCCTGCACTTAAGGAGGGCTTCTAAAAATGATCATGACATTCTCTGGCAGAAAACCTTTTGGTAGCTGCTCACAGCTCTCAGAATCCAATCTGAACGACCTGGCTCCTGCCGACCTGTCGTAATTCATCTCGTGGTGTTCTCCCCCTTGCTTGTTAGGCGCCAGACATAATGGCATCCTTTTAGTCATCAAATAGGCCAAGCTGCTTTCCCCAGCTTATAGCCTTTCCATATGGGTTTCTTTCTATCTTGAGAAAACTCTTCCATCTCATATTTACAGTCTCAGCTCAAATGTCAAAAGTGATGCTATGAATTACGTTTACTAAATCCTTTCTCCTATACCTCTTCTGGCTCACCCAGGAAATGGACTTTCCAGGCTTCTTGTCCTGTACCATCCTCCAGCCTCCTTTGATCCTGACCACACCATTTTTTGCATCTCTGCCATGGCACTGTCTCTGCATCATTTGTAACATTTGTACCATCTGAAATTATCTTCAAAAGTTATGGTTACCAGATCATTTCCTATTTTCCATGTGAGACTCCAAGATCTAAGAAGGCAGGGCCCTTTGTGTCTTTTGTCCATAGTTGCCCCCGGTACTCAGCATAGTGTCAACCTATAATAGATGCTCAACTAGTATTTCTGAAATATATACCCATGCAAGCAAATAAATGGATAGATCTCTTATATAAATAAAATGAGCTAACTGATGAAGGTAGTTAGCACAGTGCCTGATAGTGTATAAGCACTCAACAAATATACCTAACTATATAACATTAAAACTGGGCCCAAAGGCCTTTCTTTTTGTTTTTATACTGTGGAGATGTAAGAAACAGACACAAGGTTAGGGCTTGAGACCAATGGTCCATAAGAGGCGGCCTCAGCCTTACCATCAAAATCATTAATAATAGAATAGAATAGAATAGAATAGAATAGAATAGAATAGAAATAGCCTTTGAGAGCAATCGCTGGGGAGAGGTGGCCTGAGAGGGAGAATGGGCTCCACTCCACAAGTCTGAACTTTCCTTCCTAACAGCAGAATGACCCTAGAATTGTTAGAAAGGGTCTGATGTGCCGGTACCAGGATGTCACCCACCCATCTGCATCAGTGCCACAGACCCCTTCCAAAAAGGCACTCAAAAAAAAAAAACAAACAAACAAACAAACAAAAAAAAACAAACAAAAAAAAACAAAAAAACAAAAAGTCACTCCATACATCCCCAATGCACTTATTGGGCTTAGACTATGTGCCAGCTTTTGGATGGGTTCTACAATTAAGAAATAAACAAGTCCCCATCCCTGCTTTCAAGGATCAAGGGAGAGACAGACATGCATTCAAATAATTTAAAATAAAATATGATCAGTAAAATGGGAGAGGCACAGACAAAAGGATGATAGAGCAGAGAATACAGAAGGAGCACCTGTATCTATGGACTCATGAAGGCTGAGGAGACAACCTCTCCATTGGACCTAAAAAAAAGTCCGACTTTCCCAGGAAGACATAGTTGGGAGGGCATGCTAGTCAGTGGGAACAGCATATGCAAAGCACGGAATCAAGAAAAACCTTCACCAATCTTGAGAAAACCCAGTCCTGGTGATAGAAGCATAAGGCGAGTACTTCTTGTATGTATCAGAAAGTCTTACCTTTTGCGTTTAAATGACATGTGGGAAAGAGACACAGTAAAAAAAAATTGTAGACATAGAAAAAATTAATCTGCTGAAAGAAAGATTTACTAATCATTTTTGGACATTTTGTTTTGTTTGTTTGTTTGTTCGAGATGAAAATAGAGCTAATTCCTGAACTCCAATCTTCTTTTGGATTCTTTCTAAAATGTATTGCTCAAGCAATGTTATGCCGGCAAAACAGAAAACTCAAAATTAGAAAAGAATTGCCCAGAATACCACCACTCTAATAACCACGTGTTCATATTCCCATGTTCCTTCAAGGCTTTTCTTTGACTGGCCCAATCCCCTCTCTGGGGACTGAACAAATGGAAACCAGATCAGACTGCATTTTAATCATGGCAGAAACTGCAGGGCCCCCTGAAGGAGATGCCTGGAACTCCTGTCCCTGGAGATCTTGATTATGTATAAGCCTGCCTGAAAGAGGACTGTCCATTGTCCACTCGTCAAGATACAGATTTCCAGAATATGGAGAGTCAGTGTAAATCTCTAGTTCATAGATTTTTAGATCTTGAGTTCAAGACCTATGATGCTCCCAGTCCATAGAGTTGGGGGTGAGGGTCCACAGAGGAGCTTTAGGAATTCAGGACTCACCTGAAAATGTACACCAAAATTTTTGTAAGTACACAAGTGTACAGGTTTATGAAGTTGGCTCCTG